TTTTTTTTCAAAAATGAATGACAATTTACAAATAAATTCCTATATTCAGCAGACAACAACATATACAAATTACAACGTGAATTGAGTTGTTCGTGAACTCGATTGGTTAAAACTCAAGTTTGGGTCAACTCATTTTACATATAAGTCTAGCTCGAACTCGTTTAACAGTTCGAGTTTTGATTGGTTAAAGTTCGTTTATGTAATTTCCACAACCATAACTTAACTTTCAGTCGATTCTATAAAGTTAAAGTCTTGATTGCAAATTTTCATAAACGAGTTGAATTCAAGTTTGTTAATTGGCTTAACGGGTCATATCTGACTTTCTTCGATAAAAAATCGGCCCCGTGTAGAATAATTTTGGAGTTCAAACTCTACTCGACTCGACTAAAGAATTAAAAAAAAAAAAATGAATAGTAAATAAAAGAATAAAAGGTGAAAAAGATAACTATTGGAGACCAGAGAATTTAAGGGAAAACCGAAAGAGGAAGAAGGTCAAAAACCCCATTGATCTTTATTTTTATTTTATTTTTTATTTTTTTCCCTTTTTTCAGAGAAAAGGGTTAAAAAAAGAAGAACCCTTTTCATGATCTCGCTAAAATTTGGACTCACTTGGCTATAATTTTTGTCAAGATTCATTTTTTGTGTGTGTGGGGTGAGGTTTGTAAGAGAGATGATGAACAGCGGTCCGAGTAATCATATGATGTCCTCAGCGGCGGCGTCTGGAAACAACGCGCCGTCGCCTGGCCTGAAGACGTATTTCAAGACCCCAGAAGGTAAGTACAAGCTTCAGTACGAGAAGACTCATCCGACGGGCCTTCTGCACTACGCCCATGGGAAAACTGTCACTCAGGTTGGGGTCAAAATCCTCGACATTTTTCTAGGGTTTTTTTGTTCCTTCCGTATTATTGGTGATTTAATGGAATTTGGGGGTTATTGAGGAACTTGCATCTTTTGTTTGTTGATTGGGTTTTCTAATGTTTTTTGTTAATTATTGGGAACATTAATGTTAATGGTTTTTGGTTTGACATAAATTGAACTGAAAGCATATGATAGTTTATTTGCTCTTTCGATAATTTGTGAATCTTGTTCGAAATTAGTAAACATCAGCCTAAGCATTTGGAAATGAAACCTTGTTGTTATAAGTATTTTTTTTGTGAAGCATTGGAGCTTAGCAGATGAAACGGTCAATTTTTTGACAGGTTTCGAAAATGATTACTTAAATTTTGGTTCAGGTGACGATAAGAATCGGAGATTAGCATATTAATAGCTCAACTTTGTGACAGATCTTGAAAATGATCAACTTAAATCTTTGTTCAGGTGACGATAGCACATCTCAACGAAAAGCCAATGCAGGCTCCATCTCAATCATCTTCGAGCTTGGGTGTAAGCAGTGGCGTAAGGTCAGCAGCAGCAAGGTTATTGGGTGGTGGGAATGGGAGTAAAGCACTGAGTTTTGTAGGAGGTAACGGTGGAAGTAAACCCTCAACCAGTAACAGTCCTAGAATAGGATCATTAGGGGCTTCGAGTTCGAATAATATGGCTGGTAATATGAATTTCGATGTGAAAGGGACCTACTTGATATTCAATGTTGGTGATGCGATTTTCTTGAGTGACTTAAATTCTCAGGATAAGGTACTTCGGTAGTTATCTGCAACTTTTCTTTTATAAATGTATTGTATGTTATTAAATCATCGTTGAATTGATTTATTGTGTCATTTTGTGTGTGTGTGTGTGTGTGCTGCATAGGATCCTATAAAGTCTGTACATTTTAGTAATTCGAATCCGGTTTGCCACGCGTATGATCCTGATGCTAAAGATGGGCATGATTTGCTTATTGGTCTGAACTCTGGAGATGGTATGCCTTTAGCGTCAGAAGTTTTAGTAGGATTAATATGTAATATACTATATACAAGCTTATTTTATAGATTTTTGTTTCTACGTTTTCTGTAGTTTATGCTGTCTCTCTTAGACAACAATTACAAGATGTTGGAAAGAAGCTTGTGGGGGCTCAGCATTATAATAAAGATGGTTCTGTTAATAATAGGCAAGAAATTGACTCCTTATCTTTTCCTAGTTTTCTTAATTTGACCAGTGTTTGCAAAACTTGTATATGTGATATATCCATTAAAGTTCTTGAATTACATGCTGATCAATTGCTTTTTTTTTTT